TACAGGTAAACTGAATTATAGCTATAGAGGTTATCATGTTTTATACACAGAAAAGCCAACAAAAGATGAATTGGTTGAGTTATTCAGCAGCTCAAAGTTTGCTGCTGGTACTTGGGAACAGTTTGTTTGTTATCTTCCTAACATGACACAAGATACTGTTAGTAGCATTAAACATAGAGTGGAGGAATTCTGTGCTATTCAACCTAATCCTATCGATTACATGAGTGCTGTAGCTCAACACTATTTTGATAACAATGCTGATATAATAACATGGAAAAGCATCACTGTTGCACTGTTGAATGCTGATGAAATTGATTTAGCTCATCAAATATTTGATAAGCACTCAGGTAAGTAAAGGAGCTGAAAAAATCAATTATTATCAATTTAATTCTTATTACAGAAAGTAGTAAAAAGGCTTGCAAGACTACTGTGAAGAGTGTAATGAGAGCTCATTATTACAAGCTAAAAGAAGTTACAGAGAATTGTCTGCAAAAAGTAGCTGATAAATTGTATAGCAAGGGCTTAATAAATCGTGAAGTTCGAAGGATGCCTACATTTAATAAAATTGATATTGAATTCTCTGCATTGATTTCTCTGCACACTGATCATGACAACATATCAGAGTTAGAAAAAATTTGTAGCTCATTCTTATCTTGTATTGCAAGTGTCGGTGGTCCAGCTAAAGAGGAGGCCATTGCACTAGCAAGAGACTGGAAAAATAGAATATTCAAAAATCATCAAATATTGTTCTCCCTCACAGAATTTGTTCCAAAAGAAATACAATTTAGCTCAAATAATACGTTAGCAGTTGAACTTAAAAGCCTACCAAAAAAATATGCAAAGCTGGTGACTGATATTACTACATATTATGCTTCCAGTGGAAAACATGATGCTATCGTTATTGCTCGATGGGTTCAAGTTACTTTTGATGAAACTGGTTTAGCACGTGATCATGTAACTGTTGATGAAATATTTGAGCGAATTCAACCTCATCACAGTTTTATTGATATTGATGCATTGATTGATCTTGTAGAAGCTTATCCTATTGACAATTCTGCATTACAGACTAGGTTTGCTGAATATAATGATATCATTGGTGAATTTATTGATTCAGCAAAAATCAATGATATTATTACTACTATTGAAGCTGAAATTAGTGCTGGGGAAAGTATCAGTCCTAAAATCATTCTCAAACTTTCTGGAAAATGGAATGATAAAACCATTGGCCACCTTCGCAAGCTAATGAAATATTTATTTGATGAGGAAGAAAAATATATTATCATAAGGAAGTTTTTACAAGGATCAATTTGCATATCATTTTCCACAAGATCGGTTGTTTATAAATCTCTCATTGTGAAGTCAGAAGCTAAATTACACTTCTTACATCTTCTTGGTATATTTCAACTATACATTGACAATCAAACTATCATTGACATAGAAGAAGATATTAGCTTCACATTTGAAGATTCACTTCTAAAATCTCTTGCAAGTATTGAAAGTAATCTAGAGTACTACAAAATCTCATTACTTTTGATAGAACTTCAATTAAAACTAAATTATCAAAACACAGAAGGCCAGACTGCACTGATGCTAGCTAGCGAAGGTGGACATATTGAAGTTTTAAAATCGCTTTTACAAAATGGTGCTGATCCTTTTATACAATTTCCAGATAATAAAGGGTACATTGGATTGAACAGTTTAGCATGCACTGCTCTCTCTCAGCATATATTCAAATCAATTGGAGGAGAAAAAGTAAGACCAGAAGATGGCACTTCAGTTAGA